TTTTATTTGAAAATTATTATTTAGTAAACACAGAGTGAAACAATCCCTTCACACCTGGCTAGTATTTCTTTTACAAAGAACCTGTTATGAAGAGTTGCTTTAAAAAATTTCCTTAGCTAACAAATTATCACTTTTTTTTCCTATACTGCTTTAAATACCATCCACCTTTAAAGCCATTAGCATACCAAAAGAGCAGGGTTTGTTTGACTGGCTGGCCTGATCAAGAGCACTGTGAAATAAAAAATATTTTTTTTCTTTAATTTTTCTTTGAAAACTGATCAAGAATTCCATCAGCTTAAAAGCTGTAGGAAGGGTCTTTAATCAACTGCCCCATAACTTTTTGTTGGTTATATATACTGTTTGGACTAGGTGACTATAACCTTTAACAATACCTTCCTTGGAATTGTTCAACTGATCCTTCAACCAATGTTATCTTTCATATTGAAGCAAGATGTGCACTACATAATTCAGCAGACAACAGATAAACAGTTTGGTGTACAACGATTCATGTCCTACATTGACTGGACATGCCATTCATACGTAAACTTTACTTACAACATCAATGATTAGACTGCTTTGAAATGCTTATAGCATCTTTTCACAATAAGAAAGAATACAAGCATGCGCATAGCTTGGGTTTTATATGGCTGTAACCGTTCAAGAGGACCACTTGACACCTCTGCTGTTAACAAACATTCCACTTTCCTCTCCCCGAGGGATTAAAAAGCTGATAAGATATTCTTTGATAAACCATGTACTCTTAACAGTCTGCAAGCAGAAATTCTGATTGCTAGACGTTCTCCCAAAGCATTTTGCTCATAGTTTCTCTTTAGCCAGGATCTGGTTTACTTTGCATTACTTTAATTTCAGTGTACTTCGGTACATTTTTTTTTCAGCCACAGAAAATTATCCTCCCTTTTATCATTCTTTTTAGCACACACTTCACAGGCTAAATATACAACTTTTGTTTATTGATCTCCATGTCTTTTATTAGATCTTTATATTAGAGATCTAGCAATATCTACTTTAACAAAACTAATTTCATAGTTCCATAGAACCATAGAACAAATCAGGTTGGAAGGGGCATCTGGAAATCACCTGATCCTACCTCCTGCTCAGCCCAGGGCCGCCTTAATTCACACTGCTCAGGGCCTTGTCTATTTGAGCTCTGGCTATCTCCAAAGATGGAGATTTCATCAGATGCCTAATGGATAAGTTTAATAATAAAACTGAGTCTTGCAAGTACAACTGTAACATTTCCCCCAATACCTACTAAACTAACTTCCAGCGTATTGAATTTATTTATTTATACTTTTAATATTATAATAAGTATAAATGATGTTTAAACAAAAAACTGCAGAAGTGGTTTGAAGCTTGAACATTAACATTTAAGAATCTGGAAGACAATGGGGTCAAGCTGCACTGAAACATCTCTCAAAGTGATGTTGCTCTAACTTTCCTTCAGATCACGCTGAAGAAGCTTATGAGAAAAAACACAGTTTCTCAAGCCAAGAAAACAGTACTGGTTTTAGATTTCAAAAATTAAAATCTTCATTTTCTACTATTAGCAAGTAGAAGTGACAAGTTGCATCATTAGTGGAACATGTATGCTGAATGAGAAGCCTGCAGAAGGAAGCTCTGAAAGAATTAAACTGTTGCCTTTATAACTTAAACTGTGAATATTGCATCTTTGAAATACTTCCACCACTTTAACGATGTAATTCATGAATTTATCTTCTGATGTACCCAATTAAGATGAACAAATGAGAGATGATAATGCTCCCACAGGAACACAGGGACACTTACCATGTCCATGATAAATTACACAGCAAGACAAACATTCAGTCTGTTAGAAGATGCAGAGTTTTAACTCTTCTGATGGCTGCAGTGGGAGCAGCTAACACCTATCATTTGAAACCAGTGTCCATTTTTCTTATTTCCTCTCTTTTCCCTCAAATTTTCTTTTTGAAGGATAGGCTTCAAAGGTTTCCTGGGAAAGAAGTTCTCTGCCATAACAAAAGACTTGAGGACAATGATAGCACTATCTTCCTTAAAACTAATACGAACAATATTATCACTTGTAAATGAGTTCTTACAAGGTTCCACAATGATAGCCTTTAAAGTTTTAATTTTAAAAGCTTTTAAAAATTAATTATTGTAATAAAAGGCTGGGGAATATTCTTCTTGCTGTTTATATTATCCTTTCCTTGTTTCAACCCTAGTAGCTGCTTGACCCAGAATACTTCTGTCCAAAATCAGCTCGCTACTTTTGTCTTGTATTCAGAATCTCCACATATGATAAAAAAAGGATGAAAAAGGAAGAGCAACACACTAAGTTCCTGCAAAACATGGAATGGAGAAGTACAGGAGACTTTGCTCCCAGTCTTGCTGAAGAAAGGAAAAAGCCAGCATCCTGCTTTTACAATAAAAAGATCCAGGGCAATAGAAGAAATTAGAGTAGTTGTTCATGCCCAGCCTTGCTTTTTGCAGGTCATCTAGACATATTTCTTTTCTGGAACTGGGCCAACTGACTACTTTAGAATAATGAAGTAAAGAGAAGAGTACCAGATTGCTGATCTTAATATCCAACATCTGTAAACAACTTAGTGATCTGCTGACAAAACACTTGGGAAGGAAACAGAAAGAAACAAGTGAAAATGGAAGTGACAGTGACGTGAAGACAGTCCTGCATCTCTAACATTAGCTTTTAATATATTCCATAACATATTCTACTACAAAATTTTAATCAGATGCTTTTGGGCAAGCAAGTACACCTGAATGCACGCTTGCACTCAAGACAAATACTGACTGCTACACAACTTACCCTCTTCATTTATTCCTCTTTGCAGGTAGAAGTTCTGCTTGGGAAGATTCCTACATCAAAGCAGAGTGAGGTAGGAGATTCTGTGCTGTAAAAAACCTCTGCCTTGGAAAATAAAATTTAGAGCAAAGGCTTTTATGATAAGGTAGAACCTGTGGGCAACAGACTGAATAAGGTTTTCAAATGTCATCCATGGAGTTTACTTGACTTGAGAAAATGCTAGATTCTCCCTGCTACACCAGCCTCTTCTGAATTAATCAGTAAAATGCTCTCTTTATACAGTCCAGGGCAGATGAGGCGAACAGGCAGCTTTCTTTTCTATCAGTGTATCAACAGCAGAAGAGTATGTACAGGGTCCAAGCTCTTCTAGTGACACTGGGACGCAGGAAATGCCAATATAAGGTAACCAGCCCATGCTTGTAAAAACCTCTCTCGCATGTCACACCATTTTCCCATTATCTCATTATTCTGAGCAAGAATGTAAGGTACAGAGGAATGTTTTAATTCCATTTCTCCTTCTTCTTGGGAGCCCTCATTGTAGTCTTCACACTTAAATCTTGAGAAAAATAGGGGAAGAGATGGATGGCATCAACATGTTCCCTATGCCAAGTTGTTTCAAAGAGAGTTAAACAACATCTTGCCTCCTTTTCAAGAGAATGAGGAGAAGAAAACAAGTTCTCAAACTAAATTTATCTTCAAAGCTATGGTCTATCATGGCTTTGGGAAGAGATAAGATAATTTGGAAAGAGGGGATGAAAAGTATAGGGAACAACAGGTAAGGTCAAGCTTCCTTCTCCAGCTCTCAATGCTGTAAATAGGACATCTCCCCTTCACATTTAGTCACTCACCAGACACCTGCAAGAAGCTGGAGATTTGCCTACTGGGTTTTACAAATGCAGACAGGAACCTGAAATGCTAAATACATGTACACAAAATAGGACGAGTGCATGTATATGCTGTAACCCTCTATCTCTGTAACCTTCCCTGCCTTTCTTCTCTAGAGATCCAAATGTCTTCATTCCAAGGATCCAAGGCCAAAGTCTGACATGGCAAAGCTACCAAATCTTTGTTCACATCTAAGGAAACTGGTAAGCTGCAAAAAAGACCCAAGAATATCTGAAAAGTAGAGACGTGTAAGATAATAAAGTAAGAGACAGTGGTAGGACTGTTAAGATGGTGATTACTTACTACCTCAGTGGAGTACTACAATCAGTCTGTAACATCAAGGATCCCTTCTAACTTTTCCTCTTCTCACTGACACCTATCTGCCTAGCAAAGACTGAGGTCTCTTAATAGGATGGTGAATATATTAATGCTTAACTAGGATTCAGCAAGCTACCAAACTACATTGCATGTGAGTTACCCAATAACAAATTGCTTTATTCTTCTAAGTTGTGTATATCCCGTTTGCAGAATCTGAACAAAGTAGCCCAAAAAGAAACAGTAACACTCACTAAAATATTTTAAAAGACTTACTTCATTTATTCCTCTTTAACTTTCTGCTTGAGAGGCATTATTGTGCAGAACACCAGTGAGGCTGAAGTAGTGTGCCTCTGCAAGCAGATGGCACAAGAAAAATAGCAACGAAGAGATGGTCTCCTTATGAGTACATACTGTGAGCATCCTTATACCCATTCTAAAAAAATCCATTAGACACAGTTTTCAAGTTAAGGTGTTTCACCTCCTTTTAATTAGATGTGTGATCCTGGTGATCCTTGCTTAATAAAAATAGTATTTACGAGGGAGGTCTTTCAAAGCTCATCCCTCTGAACCTGTCTCTATAATGCAGCTTCTCCTTCATTGTCCTTGATTTGTACAACAATTTCAGACAGAGATCTAAATATTTTACTACTCGTGCTAGTTTTTTCTTTATACAGTTTGTATTTCTTGAACCACTAGTACAACAGCACATCCCAAAGCAGAAAGGTAGTGTTTGCTATGCAAAACACACAGTCCATGATTGGCATCTAAGACCAATTGATCTGCCCATTACCACTATCTCCCTACCCCCACAAGCTTTACTACAAAGCTATTGATTTAAACACTGCCGATCGGTTTCCATTTTCTGATTTTGGGCAGGCCAATTAAGAAAGTGAGTAATTGTGATTACACTGCTTCAGGATCAATTACATTTGATGCAAGACAAAGTGCTCCTCTTACAACAATGTAGAGAAAATGATTACGATCAGAAACACTTTACTGCTGAACATGCTTATAACAAAAACGCAAAATCACTGACAATGTCTTTCATAAAGATATCTTTTCAGGAAATACAAGAATATCGACACCTTTGAGTATACAGTATTTCAACTGCATTTTGACATACTTCTACAAGTCATTCTTCCTTTTGGATTAAAGCTTTTTAAGAAGTATGACAAGTTTAAAAGACTGTAGCTGAGTTCTCGGAGACATTGCCCCCAAAACATCACACTGCACAATTTCTTCAATGATACTGAGCATCAGTAGGATTTTGAGCAATACATGTTTTAACAGTAAAATAGCAGATTCAATGCAAAAAACATTTTACCTATTTTTATATTACTTTCTAAGGAGTACTAGCAAAGAGACAAGGCCCTATCAATTAGCAAAGGAACAAAGTAAGCAATTCCTATTCTTAATTTAATTTTAAACTTAGCTTGAGCTTTGTCATTGAACTCACATTGTTCAAATCATTAAAATGAATACACCGCTGAGGTCTGAGGCAAATCTATTTACAGTGATGTTACTCATAGTCTGGTCGGTGTTCAGGAATATTGATCTGTCTTGTTTGTCTAATAGGAAAATAATAAACAATTACTAGGCAATGTTGGAGAAAGTAATCAGTTTTTATATATCACTAATACAGCAGACCTCCCAAAACATAAAGGTGATGATCTGCATAAAATCAATGTGTTATGCTACATTGCTTATCCTCATCACTGCTAAGATTCTTAGCAATACATGGTATAAATTTGGAATTCAATCACTAGTATTCTGAAAATATGTACCTGAAAGAAAAATTTCTGCTCTATTTAAAAAATCATGTTCCTGCTTGATAAACTGAGCATATTTCATTTAAAAAAACCCCTCCAAAATATATAAAAACTATCATTTTGAAGCAATTATGAAATAGCATTGCCTAGAAGGGCGCTTCCCTTCCCAAACAAACCTAGCATCAGGCAACAGTCCAAAGCTGTTTTCAAATTCTAGCAAACAGCACACAGACCAGCCACAACAATGTGATGCACACAAACTACATGCTGCAGACATCTTGCTGGAAGTACTAATATCTTTAAAATGACTATGCATTCAAAGCATTGTAGAAGAAAAGGTTTGAGGAGTGGAAAAAAAAAATTCAATAGTAAAACCTCCTTGCCCCTAAACCAAGAAATTTTATTTTAGCTGTGATTCTTTTGGAGTGACTTGGGCACATCTTTTTTACTAAGATTTCCCCCCCTATCTTTAATAACCTGTAAGTTGTACAAGCTGTGCTTAGTAGTAGTACACTAAAATTTCTCCAGTGTTCAGCAAAGGGGTACAGAAATTTCTCAAAGGGTGCCCCCTAGACTGGAATGTGTCAACGTGAATGTCTGTTCAATATCCCTTTCTGTGGAGAACAGATGAAGTTGTGCTTCTTGCAACAAAATACATAAAAAACATTATTTCAAAATAGGTTAAAAAAAAAAAAGAAGCATGCAGATCTACTTAGTGCCTTTGCATAGTTTCAAAGACTATATAAGACTGAATAGCTCTTAAAAGAAGGTGTCCGTATTTCCCCCATACATACATTACTGATGTTTGGATACTGCTGCTCTAAATTTTCCCTGGTTTCAAATGCTAGTTTAAGACAGACTTTTCACTGGTGAACAGGTTCCCTGCTTGCCTAGAATGCAACACGAACAAAGGAGGATCTTGAATGTGCCAATAATGACCATAAAAAGCCTAAATCAAATACATAAGACAAAATCTAGCTGGCAAGACAGCTACTTGTTTTCATTCTCTCTCTAATAATATAAAAGAATCTATAGCATGAGGAATAAGCTTCTTTGGACAGCAAATGTTGGGGCTGGTTTCACACAGTCATGTTACATAGATCACAAACAGCCATAATAACCACTTGAGGCAGTAAAATTGCTCACACTATGTGCTTTTCTGATTTGCGATTTCTTACAAGGAAGAACACACACAAAACACTCCAGCAGACTAGTCAGACTTGACTGCTCCCTTCAAGGTGGTGTTATTAAGAAGAATCCCAAGAAGAGGGAGAAAAAATAAAAATAAAGATCAGGAACTGAGAAGTAATTCTAAATCAGAAGAGGAGTTCATGCTTCTACTTGGTAACGTTTACACCAAGTGAAAACCAGGACCTCCCAAACACAACCTGTCACAGACTTTTTGAATTTACACATATGATTTCAAACCTAGATTTGAGCTTACCATCAAATCTGTGTTTGCAAAAGCTTGGAAGACTGAAAAAAACTGATAATCCTTGTAATAGTAAAACTGAACACTAAATATGTCTTATTTATCTAAAAACATCTTGGGTATACATCATGTTGTGAAATGCTGTTCAATTTTTTAAATATTTAATAAACAGCAATTCTGCTACTGACAAGTAAACTTCCAGTATACACTACTTTTGCCTTCCAAGAGCAAAAAAATTACCCTCCCTTCCCAAGAACTCACCACAACTGGAAACTGGCTGTCTGAGTAGAATCACAGAAGTCGATACCCATTGAAACGGTAATGGATCTCGCAGGCTCAAGGCACTCTAGGTGAAAACATTTTGAACAGGTAAAGTACACATGCAAAGCAACAGAAAACCCCAGATGCAAACCCCCAAACTTCACATAATTTGAAAATTTATATTTAAAAAAAAACCTAAATGAAAAAGAACCAATGCTTGTAGTTTTATTTCAAGTAGGTATCATACAAATATCCCACCTCCATATTTAAATGTCCTGGATCCCCCCTCCATACAGCTAGTGCACATGAAATGTTGCTGTTTCAATCTTACAGCCCCATCAACAACAAAATAAGGATTTGTGTTAGAAAATCCAGGAAAATTATTTACAGAAAAAAATATATTGAAGTTACATACTTTTACTTATGTACAGATCTAGCACAGAAATTTCATTTAGAATAACACCAGTTTGCAAATTCAGTCAATAAACAGTAAAATATAACAAATATTAATAAGATTTACATTGCTACATGCAGCAATGGAAAAAGACCCTAACTTAAAATATCTCATAATTAGTGTGGTTTACTTATTCCTCAGTGTTGTGCTTGCATTACTTTTGGAACAGAGCAGAACGAATTTGATCCCAAAACGGAAGATAATTTTGTGCTTTACAAGCAGTGTGGACTGAGGCACTTCTGAAATTAAAGGTATCAAGAGACATGCTCATTCTTAGTGTCTTGGCTCTATCACTATCCTGTTTCCTCAGTGTTGTAGAGATAAGGCTTTATTTGGTAGGAAGAAACGCTCTTTCTTTACATAAAGTAGGAACTATTAAAAACAAGCCTTGGAGCAGAGTTTGACTTATTAAGACTTCAAGAAAGAAAGCCTAAAAACACAGTTAAAAGAGAGGAATTAAAATAAAAATGATTGAGCAGGCAGAAAAATGTCTAATTTCCAGTTTATTCGTTAATGCATCTGATGCTTTTCAGGAACAGAAGAGTAGGCAGCTGCCCCATGACAAAAACAAAATTTAACTATATCAAGATTATATTCTGAAAAACATAGAAAACATGGTATTTGAAGAAGTCTGTATAAACCATCGTAAGATTACAGGCTTCAGCACAAATTCAGACTAAACTTTACCAAAGTCTTTGAGCTTTATGTTTTCAAAGAGGGTTTCAAAGGCACCTAGCCAACAAGAAAATACTGCACACAGGTGAAGTACTTCACCTAGGTGAAGCAATTTGGCCCATTTCTACTAGCAAAATCAGGACAATTACCAACAGTAATTGAAATGATGAAGGCAAAACTAGACTTATACTCCAGTAGGAATACCTGTCTACACTGACATTTCTGTTGGTTCCACTGGGCAAACTATAGTATGTGTTTTCCAAATGCAGGAAACATGAAAGGTGGTAAGAACAACAGGGCATATAAACTGAGTTATAGATAAAGTGATAAAGTTTCTTGGGGAAATACTTTAAAGGTTAGGACTGTGTTCTGAAACTCAATAAACCTGCACAGGAAAACTTACTAATTCCAGATTTTTTTATTTTTTTTTTTTTAATGGCAGAAGTGAATGCTACTGTTCACTGACTGCTATTGCAAGTGCAATATCTCCTAATCTGCTTTATAGCATTATTAATTTTCTACTTTTAAACCTTCGTGACTTTATTTCTTTGAATGTTTAAAGGAGGGATAAAAAAATGAGGCTGATGGTCAAAGCTAACTTGAAATCAGAATTCTGCACTGGACTTCTTTTCTTGAGGGACAACACCAAACAGTTCACTTAACACAAACATTAATAACTTTCCTCAAAGAAACTGTCTGGATCAAGTACGTATCATAGAATCACAGAATCATAGAACCATTAAGGTTGGAAAAAAACCTAAAGAATCATCAAGTCCAACCATCAACCCAACACCACCTAACCCACTAATTTCTTAATCCGTGTTTCAGCTATTTGTCTGGGTTTCTTCAGTCTTGCCAGACAGCTGAGGTCATTTAGTTTCCCACAGTTATCAGAGAGAGTGAAAAACAGTTTCTACACAAGAATATCTAAATTGAATCATCACGGCAAATCCGGGAAGAAATATTCACTCATCTAAGTGGTTTGTGCAGCAAGGAAGGTACGAGCCACACCTGCTGTCTGCCCCTGTGCATCCCCGGCACACGTCTGGTGCGGGGAGGGTTGCTCCTCACTGCGGGGTTTGCAGGGCAGGCATGAACTGCTGCTGGCACTGACTGAGAAAGCAGCACCATGGCTTCTTCTCCTTCCAGAACAAGGACTTGAAAGTGTCCAGGACTCTTACAGAACAGTAGGAAACAGGTTGCTGGCTGCATGGAAGCCAGACAGAAATGGGGTCCCATGCAACCAGTGAGCCTTCTGCTGTGCTGGCCTCTTCTCTAAAGTAAGAAGTGATAGGACAAGAGGAAACAGCCTCAAGTTGCACCAGAGGAGGTTTAGGCTAGATATTAGAAAAAATGTCTTCACTGAAAGAGTGATCAGGCATTGGAACAGGCTGCCCAGGGAAGTGGTGGAGTCACCATCCCTGGAGGTGTTCAAGCTTAGGGACATGGTTTAGTCATTATCAAAATGCAAATAGTTTCAAAACTTTAAATCTGAAATCAACTGTAGCATTGTACTATTGCTCTTGTAGCTATTTGGTGTAAATATGTACAGCCTTTTCAATGTTAATTATTTCAATAGCATACAACAATTTAATACCAAGTTATCTTTTTCACTACTGAAATATTTACTTCACTGTTATGCTTTAAGAACCAGTTTCTGTCTTCTCCTAACATGATATAAATTCACATAGTAATGTAGCTCATTAAAAGGGAAGAAATGCATCTGAAGTACAGGAGCTTGTGTCAAAAAGGAGAGTGTCTCTTCTTTCCTTTTCTATTATGAAAGAGAGACCCTTTTGTTCCTTCTGCCTGTACCACAATGTCCTAAAACAAAGAACTACTTAGGAAAGAATGCAGATTGTGTGCACAGGTACTAGCCTTGAATAAAACCTGCTACGATCTGTGTTCTTCTTTCTCAGGTTTTCTATGCCTTTCCACTGATTTATCAAAAACTGACCCTGATCAGATGGCAGAAAATAAAACAACTTAGGCTAGGGCTGACTACAGCACTGCTTTCTGCCTAGTCTCAGGAGCCACACTTTGTTGAAGTACAGTAGATGCAAACTAGACTAAAACATACACTTCCACTCCACTGCCAAAAGCTCACAGGGGAAACAATGAGAATGCTCTCAGCCACTAAAATAAATAATACATCTACAAATGTTCTTTAAAGCTTGGAAAGAAAATAATTGGGAATATGTATATCAAAACCTCACTCTTAATAGTAGCCCCCTATAGCCATGCTGGACTAAGACTGTAACAGAATTATAGTCTGTGGGGAGACACAAAAATTTTATTATATCATCTGGAATTGAGATAATATAATCAATATTTGAACAAGCAGGTAAGCTTTCAGGAATGGAAGTTCTGGTCTAAGGAGTTATTTTCAAAGTCAAATGCAAGTAGGGGAAAAATGAATTAAATTTTTGTTAAAATCAGATTATCTAAGAAAAGATAAGTATGAGTGTGTATGTATACATACATATATATGTGCATATATATATGTATATATGAGTATATATGTGACTATGCAAAACCACTTTCCTATATTTGAAATTTTGCAAAAGATTAAGATTCTGTATTTTTAAAGGTAAGATACAAGTACCTATTGGATTAAACTCATGCATCCTCATGCCTGGAGGTAATTTCTTTTCCCCGATGTGAATATTGTCTATCTTCTGATCAGTTGTATTTGTTACTGTCACTTGTACAGATACCATACGATCACCAAAAACACCTGGCTGTCTTGAAAAGTGATAATGGGCTGCTAATCCTTTTCCACTCATTCGATGAAGCAGTTCATGTGTTTTTGTTGGCACAGAGGCTTGCCTAGTGACCTGTTAAGCATAAAACAACAGTTGGTGAATGTTTTAAGTGAAGAACAAGTAAAATGACAATTAAATATTGCACTTTTCACTCAGCTAGATCGCCTGCTTTCTAGCTGGAATTTTAGCGAACTAGAAACATGCAAGGATGTATTCAAATCCTTAAACAAATAGCAGTAATAGATACCAGATAACAGAACCTAAAAATAACATTTCTGATGCTAAGAAACATCAGCTTTAACTTTGTTGTATTTGCCTCATTCCCCCGTATTGTTGTCAATATTTTAACTCTACAGTTACCCATTAAATTACCAGAGGTTTTTCTAAGAGTTAGTTAAAATAATCACATTGTTTCCAACAAGAAATCTCTCTTCACTCTATTGCATCAGACCTCAAGGGTGACCTCATGCCCACATGAAGTGAAAGTATAGTGTGATTGGGCAAACAACTCTGAAAAAACTTCCACACCAAATTTCACTTTTAACTTTTTACTTGGTGCTACTCTCTCTAATACACAAAAATTCTGGCATCAGTTTTTTTAAGAAACAGAATAGTGATCTACCAGTAACCATCAGTGCAAAGACTAAAGGCAGTTTCAGAATACATCTGAACTGAGGAAACTCCACAACCCCAACTTTGAATCTGTACAATTTATTAATACTTTTAAAGTAAATTGGTGAAGTTCAGACATCTTCTTCCCCCTAAAAAGATAATGTAATATTCTCAGGGACAACATTTTTAGTTTTCCTGACACAAGTCAGTGAAATCTTACCAAAGCCATAATGACCAGTTATCTTTTTTATTCCACTGCCATTTTACGTGCATAAATATATAAGATTAGGGTTACTTTTATGTAGCTTATCTTTAAATTACATTTATAAAATAATTATTCCTGTGACATCACATGACCAGATTGCCAGCTACTGCAAAATGAATGGAAAAAGTATGAATTGTATGGACCTTCACAGTTCCTCTAAAGTCAAAACATCTTTGAATACTAAAATGAACCTTTAATAGATTAATACTCTGCTTAGATTTCTAGAAATAATTGACAAGGTCAATTATCAACTCTCAAAAAACAACTCAGTTGTCAGGAAATAGGGAAGGAGGTACTTCAAACAATAAATAACTTATTGGTACATAGAAAGAGATAACAGCAGTGGAATCACACTAGCACCTCTTACTTAAACCATTGCTAAAATAATTTATAAAATTTAAGTTTTAAGATGTAATTTAAATCTTATTTTAAGTTTAAGCTTCACCTTTAACTTTTGACATTTAATTCAATTTGAGCTGGACATGCATAACAGAAAAGTTATTTCATTAAATGGTTCACCCATCTTTCATAAACAAGCTTAGCAAATAGGTTTTATTCATGTTAAAACAAGTCTTTTGAAGTACTGGCTTCTCTGTGTTAACATATAGCTGGTTTTATTAATATTATTTATTAAGAGAAATGAAAACATTAGAAGTTAGTAGTCATAAGTCCAAAATGTAGATACATATGCATATGCATACAGCAAAAATTCCTCACTATACCTGAATTGTAACACTGACTCAAATTTTACCGAAACCTTTTTAATCTATGCCCCTTTCAGCTTTACTTCTCATGTTTCAGTCATAACTTCACTCATGATCCCATTCACTTTTATTTTCAATCTACTATACAGAGCAACAGACAGGCAATGGACAGTCAAAATAATGACATTATGTTTTAACCATCTTAATTCCTGTAGAACATTAATTTTCACTTGCATTTAATGTGGCAGTACTAGAAATAAATAAAACGTATATATGCTGAACTAGGGAATTTAGTTCTGGAAAATGAGAATTCTCAAGCCCTCTGTTTGATAACAAGGGTTTTGAGCGGGCAAAGGTTGATGTGACTGTAACGTAGTCTATTTAACAGTTGCATCAGTGTAGTAAACAGAGTTTTTTGTTTAGATTCTAAATTTTTTAATGCATACAATTGCAATACTTAAAGAAACCCACAGGGCGGATACCTGCAATCACTCTGGGGTTAAAATAGTCCTCAAAGAGTTAACAGAACAAGAAGCATCTAGTAACCAGGAGATAATCCCCTACAAATCTTACACAGCATATGTTTAAATAATAGAAGTCATTTGTGTACCTTTGGATAGTTTATGAAAATAACCAATCAATTCTGCAGACACAACATTATTTCTAAAGGAAATCTATGTGACTCATGATGCCTGCAGATACACAGAGACAAACCACACATATTTTACCAGTTTATTACAGTAAGCAAATAAGCGTGGAATGAGAGTGCACATAACTGTCTACTTAACGCTTACTGAAACATTTATAAGAGCTGTTATCTCCCTAATAACAGACAGACAGTGTGCAATTTTAGAGGGAAGAAAAGCTTCATATTTTTTAACACTTCACTAAAAAGTAACTGAAGAGTGTAAAATGAAAAATACTCTGTGCAGTTAGCTGGTAATGGACCATATTATCAACTCAAGTTAGATTTATAGGATACAAACTAGTCACTAATAGTTATTTTATGACATAGCGTGTCTGCTTTTTTTGGGTAAAGATTATTAAGATTAAACTTGCAAAACTTTTTTTTTTTTAATATCGCTATTTTGAATTACAAAAATAAAAAAAATATAGACTGTCCTTCCACCCTATTTTGACTGAAAGCCACCACAAATTAAAGTCAGCATAGGGACTCCACAGTGACATCATATGGGAACACTATGTTGGTAAGAGTCAGACTGGCCTCCAGGCTATCTGCACATGTGGAAAGATGAACTGTAAGATCACTGACAGTAGTGTTGGCTTTATCATACCAGTGGTGACTAGTTAAAAAACCACTGAATCCTCTCACATGAACATGCTTCTTTTTGCCAGCTCAGTAAGTCCTTGATAACTAAGTTTAAGTTAATACGAAAAACCATTTTCCATAATTATTGAAAATAAAAAGCACTACAGGGTTTACTAAACCTACTACAGAAAACAGAGCTGGACAGACTTTCCTGTAGGGAGAAGTTATTATTATTGTTATTATTATTATTATGATCAAGCACAAAACTATGTCTGTTGTCTTTTTTCTTTTGTATTTGTTCCTTAGCTCAATAATGCTGTATTAATAAACAGATTAATTGTTGATCCTGATTCAGAAATGCATATGTTTGAATAAAACATATATTATTGGAAACAAATATTTGCTTCCAAGACTGATGACGATTATAGTTCTGTTCCTCTAAACTACATTCTATTAAAGCAGTGGACTGAATAATTTAATCTTAGTAGCCCTTCTACTGCCCTCCTATTGGCAATATCCACGACACAATCCAAGAACGACCTACTGAGCTGTGAGAGCTATATCCTCTCTCACACTCACTGTAAGGCTATGCTCCAGTAACTCTGCAACAGCTACAGGAAGAAGGGTTATCACATAGCCCAGACACATTTACATGATCTTTCCACTGAAGCTACGAGAGCAACTTAACTATAATTTTCTAGTATTAGGAGAAAGATGGAAAACCCGGCAAATGAAGGACAACTACTGTCAGGAAACAGTATACTCAGGATCTTTTGCTCTGTTACCAGTTATGTGTTACTCACAGTTACAAGGCAATGTCTTCCTTACACAGCTCTTATAAAAATAATTAATAATTCATAAAAAGATACAGTAAAAGGCAAACAAAGAATTGCAGAAAGAATGTCAGCAACCTACGCTGCATTATTATCAAGAGGCTGTAGCAAATCTAAACCTTAGAGCACAATTATGTCACTCAAATATGGATTGCCAAACTAAGGACAGCATCCAACCCCAACCATTCTATGATTCTATGATTCTATCCCTCTGTTGAGGGGGCGGGGAAACAAAACAAGTAAGCAAGCAAGCAAACTCATACTTTTTGCAGTCTAGAAGAGAAAGAAGATACCACAATTCAGTTTGGGCTAATTTGCCTAGACACATGGACAGCTGAGGACATAATGTCAAATTCTGGAAAATACTTTAAGTAACTTTCCACCAGAAGGCACATTTAAGTGCTCTACACCTACTAAATACCTTCTAAAAGCCATGTCTGCTAGGAAGTCCTTCAATTTCTAATACATCCTAACTCCCTTATTTTTGCATTTTCAACAAATTTTAGGCTCTACTCTAAATGATTAATATGTCAATGAGCCTAATTGAAAATTAGCATATTAATGCTCATATTGCTAAACTAGTATTGGTTTCAGACAATTTCAGGCATTAGAAAGTGAGTTCCAAAAATTCTTACTGAATTCCACATTGATAAAATAACAATTTTGTCTCCAAAAACTTCCAAGGAAAACAAAATTAAAAAAAAAACCCAAATAACTCCCATTGATTTTTAAATCACATGGAGATGAATCTCAAACAAAGGAGCATTCCTATCATACTGCCCACAGTCTGCCTCTTTGAGGCTGCTAAAATTGATCCTTTTCTCTGCCTTTTTTTTTTTTTTTCCACTCTAATATTTGTGTGGGCTCAAATAGGTAGAAAATCATCCTTTCACAGAGTACTGTCTCCTAGGTAATCTGTGAATCTAGAGATGATAAAAATCTTCCATAACACTAAATTACCCCTTTTCTAATATTTTTGTGTACCTTAGATTTTTCAATAGTTCTCTTAAAAGATATAACCAACCAGACAGATTCCCAGTAACTCTATATCAAAAAAAAAGTATTGCTCTTATAGCATAAAAAAGACTGCATCATATTAAGAAACCAGAATTAGGCCTTCACCTGCAGTTCATGAACAGCACAAAACTCTATTAATCCCATACCAGATTCATCAAGCACTTCTAAAACTGAGTGTGTGCTTGGTTTGTATCTTATGTGTAACTGGAGGCCAGTGAGATAGATTGCATTTCTTGTGTGTAACAGAACTTAAAGCTTTATATTACAACAACACATGGCTTTGAGATTGGGCATCTTTCCTTTTTCCTTCTGCTGAGCATAACGAATCACATGAATAACCCAATGAAAATATTATTAAAATCTTTCAAAAA